TTTTCTTTTTTAGGATTTAATTTCCTAAAGGATCGGACTACAGAATGTACTTTGTTTTTGAAATTCAACTTCTATATAGTTCAATTATCGGACATCCCACTTCATTTTCTCCCGTAGTTTGATTATAATATTTATTGTAATACCCATATAACACCCATATCCTATCATGTGAACAGAAGGGAGTTTTGGCAATGAGGGAGGTATGATGTAATTCTGCCAGAGGTTCTTTTCATATTCTGTTTCAGTAGCAATCACTAGCAACTCTTTTACCCAAGCAGTCACAAAAATATTTTCCCATGCCCTGAATTTACATATTCGATTATATTCTCTTGAGCCATCAGGGACTTCTGTTCTTTCCATCCATAAAAAGTTTATGCTAATCTTGCCTATTTTCTTTTACATTTTAGGTTCTAAGCAAAGCCAACAATAATTAATATAAATTAAGAATGCTGGCATGGAAAGCTGTTCCTTATCAATCTGTCACACGGTAAATATGCTGCACAGAATCATAATAGATTAGCATCAAAGTCCAGTGAAATGGTCATGAAAGAGGCCAAATATATTTGGATAACATTCATTGAAATCTATTGCTATGAACGGGTCTAAAGCTGTACGCCGTATAATTCCAAGAATTCAAATGAAATTTGTCTTCAGTGCTATGAGATTTCTGGGATGTTCTGACAGAATCACATTTTATTTAGAGCTTCTGGCCTGGACAGAGTCTCACATTTCTCTCAAAGTCAAGGTCATTAATAAAGGTCTGTGCTGTCCGGTACAGAAGCCACTAACCCCATGTGGCTATTGAACACTTGAAATATGACTATTCTGAGATAGGCTGTAAGTATAAAACATACAGTGGATTTCAAGGATTACTTATTAAAAAAATGCACACTAGTTCAGCAATATTTTACATGTTCAATTTTAAAATTAATTTTTAATATTAATCACATGCTAAAGTGATAATATTTTGGATATACTGGGGTTAAATAAAATACACTATTAAAATTAATTCCACCTTCTTCATGTCCTGAACTGTGGCTACCTGAAAATTTTAAGTCACAGATCCTGGCTCTCGTTACATTTCTGTGGGGCAGTGAGGCTCCAGGCTGTATCCCAGTTTTGAGAGGAGCCACAAGGAGGCAGTTCAGTGTGGTCACACAGGTCGAAGTTCAATTCCCACGCCTTCTCTTTCTTCCCTAAGGGACCCTGGCACATTACTTCCTCAAGCCTTCGTTTCATCACTTATAAAATAGGAATGAGGATATTGCCCTGCTCTCAACGATGATCAAATCTAACGCTGTGTCTAAAAAGATGCTCTGGTTCTCAGAATGAGCATTAACTTCTAAATTACAAAAAAAAAAAAAGGGGACAATTTTAAAAAAACTTAGCTGCCTAATGAGAAACAGGGTAAAAATCTTAAACAAACAGTAAAATGGATCGAATCAAACACAATTTAAAATATCCTTTTTTTTTTTTCGTCTTTGACCCATTGCTACTTAATAGCAGACATATATTAAGGAAAGGGGAAATGAAACTCAGAGTTAACTAAATGTGGGTTAGCTCTATTTTCTGGGTCACCTCTCTCTGCTACTGAGGGACATAATGTAAACAAACATTACTGTTTCCTTAAAAAAAAAACCACACACACACACACACAAAAACATGATGGGTTTTTCTCCCAAAAGCAATCACATGTCATTAAACAGCTAAATATTAAGTAATTTTTGGGTTGGAGGGCTATTTGGGCAGCATGGGTAAAGGAAAGTGAATAGAACAGGAGTCCAAGGGCAGGGATTCAGTCCTGGATCTGCCAAAGCCTAGGCCAATGGCACATGAGACCTCTGAGCCTTGGTTCTGTAAAATGGGGATATGGATGATAAACCTTTCACAGATTAAAGATTAAATTAAATAATGCATATGGAAATACTTATCTGTAAACTGTAAAGTATTATGTAAATGTTAGCTATTATGGTTTTTTTCCACTGGGTTGTAAGGATAATCTACATGGATATAGCCACTCTGCTCTCTGATAGAAATCAAAAGAACAAAAGACAAACCACAGTGGCTTTGTACAAGGTACTCCACTTTTCAGGACCCTCATTCCCTCTTCTTCCCTGTCTACTTTAAAGAGTTACTAGGAGAGGGTGCCTGGGTGGCTCAGATGGTTAAGCGTCTGCCTTAGGCTCAGGTCATGATCCCAGGGTCCTGGGATCGAGTTCCGCATCAGGCTCCCTGATCCTTGGGAGCCTGCTTCTCTCTCTCTCTGTCTCTCATGAATAAATAAATAAAATCTTAAAAAAAAAAAAAAAAGAGTTACTAGGAGGGCCTCATTTAAAAAAAAAAAAGAAAAAAATGCATTCAGAAAACTACAGTCTTATGTAAATGTAAAGCATTGTTGTTGGTCTGGATAATCATCAAGAGTTGATTTTGGGGGTGCCTGGGTGGCTCAGTAAGCGTCTGCCTTCAGCTCAGGTCATGATCCCAGGGTCCTGGGATCGAGCCCTGCATCAGGCTCCCTGCTCCGTGGGAAGCCTGCTCTTCCCTCTCCCACTCCCCCTGCTTGTGTTCCCTCTCTCCCTGTGTCTCTCTCTGTCAAATAAATACAATCTTTAAAAAAAAAAAAAAAGAGTTGATTTTGACAAAACCTCTGACAAAGAGAGAAAAAATCCTATGTTCAGTATCCAGGAGTCCCTCCTACTGTGAAAAATAGCCATTACCATGGTCCAAAAAATAATTCCTTGTCCTTTTAACTCACATATACTCATTCATGATGATCATTAATGGCAATAATATGTGATTGAAAAAGGAAGGTTAGAGCGTGCATCTCTTGTTCAGGTCTTGGCAAGATGAAATTTAAGGACTGTCGACTGTCATTTTTAAGTAGAGCCCCATTCAGCACAATATGATCATCATCACTGCAGTACATTATTCCTAACAAGAACTGCCATTAAAGCTGGGTCTTTAGGGCAACAAACACTCATCAATGTGGTCTTTAAAATCAGTACTGTAAAATCCAGGTACCCCAAAGATGCTGACAGGACTTTATCTGGCCATTAAATTATTTGGGCTCTAAGGTAGGGCATAAACAGATGCCAACAATGACTTTAAAAAAATGAGTCCTTGGAATGTCACATAAAGAAGTAAGAGCTCATCAAAATAGCTGAGTAAAATCAAAGCATCCTATTGGCCTACAACTATTACCTGCAATAACTAGAACTCGTTTTCCCCACATCTCTTGATTGGTTATTGTTTTTAATAGGAGCTGACTAGTACTAAAATGGCTTTTCTGTCACAGTGTGTCCCACTTCAATCTTTGTTGTTTCTCAGCATTCTCAATGTGTATCAAATTGTAACAAAAAATTCTCCTAATTTGAAAAAATAAGTGTATTTGGTTTTTGCTGATTTATACTTTTATTCCTTTCATTTGAATTGTACTTTCTCCGCATTTTCTTATTTTTGTATAGTATTCCCTGATTTTGTGCTCTGGTACTGGACAAAGCCATTCCTAAACAGAAAACAGACTCAGGATGGCACCTATCATGTAATACCATATTAGACTGTTCTGTGAGTAACCCACCCCAGCGCTTCTGTCCAAACGGGATTAGATAAAAACACACATTAACACACGCATTAGGAAAAAGGACCAATTATCTGTCTGTATATGTCAAATTCAAGGAGTAAACAGGAAGGTGAAGAAGTTGCATCATATGGAGTTAGTGAGGCAATGAAGACAATCCCGTTAGTGAGTGGACAAGAGAACAAAGCAAACCATTGGCTTTAAAGGTACCAGATGAGTGCTCTAGAAGTTTAGAGACTTGGAAACCAATTCAGTAAGTGTGGAGATTTTTTTTTTTTTTAAAGATTTATTTATTTATTTTAGGGAGAGAGACAGAGAGAGAGAGAACAAGGGGGAAGGGGCAGAGGGAGAGAGAGAGGAGGAATCTCAAGCAGACCCCATGCTGACCACGGAGCCTGACACAGGCCCCGATCTCATGACCCTGGATCATGACCTGAGCCTAAACCATGAGTCAGACGCTCGCTCAACTGACTGACCCACCCAGGGGCCCCCAGTAAGTGTGTGGAATGTCAGCATCCCAACAAGCAGAGATAAATACAACACCACATTCTCGTTCCAAACATTTTTCACCCAATTTCCACTTCTGATGTTTTCATCCTGTTTTCTTAAGTTTAGAAGTTAAATTCCATAACTTCCACCATTTCGTTATTGTCAAAACTACAGATGCCGGCACCATCACCAAGATGCCTAGACTTTGTATTAATAAAACTACAAGATGCAGAAGTACCCATTTTAGTCTTCAGTGATACTAATTGCGCTATCAACCTTTTACAGGGCGGTGAGTGAAAAGCAAACACCAGTGACTGATTGTACCTGGCAGGTCTCCCTAAGAGCAAGAGTTACCATTACTAAGTCAAGGCAGGCCTTGCTCCATTTCTTAGCACTAGTACACGCTGAACATGAGTCGTGGTTATGTCATCTGGCCGCAGCTTTAGAGCTCACTGCTCTTCCTAGATGAGCGCTTTGCCCAAAGAATGTTCATGGAATACTTGGGAAATGCCTTACCAAAAAAAAAAAAAAATTTTGACTTTGGGCAATGTCGTATTCCATATTCCCTTCTTGAAGATTCACAGGACATTTAGCATATCAACAGTTCTTGCAAGAGGGGGAGTCCTCTTGGTCTAACTCAATATTTCCTAAGTTTACCTGACCATGTAACCCTTCCCTATTCCCACCCCTCTACAGACCACCCAGGGACATCTCCCAGAGCTAACACTTCCAGAGAGTCACTCTGGGAAATACTCTTTTGGACTGAGGAGGGATAGAATTATTTCAGATGAACATGACTTCCTCTCAAAGCTTGAAAACCATAATTATTCCACTCTGGGAAGAGGAGACAGGAGCACAACCAAATGAGTATTAAGAAGGAAAGGATTTCCTGAAATTACAAGACTGCCGGATGAAAGGTACACGTTCTACTTACTTAAGGAGATTTCCAAGATTGAAAAGAGCCCGGTTGTGCTGCGGATTTAGCTGGAGAGCCCTCTGATAGTACATCTTTGCCTCTGCTGTGTCTCTCGTCAGTGTTCCAAGGTTGTTCAGGGCACTTGCGTGGCGAGGATACAACCTGAAAAATTAGAAATATTCAGCCATGATTGTTCGAAAACTTCTGAGCTGGGCACGATGGGCTTGTTCTCCCTCTCCCCCCACCCCAGGAATGCCACAACCAAAATGAAACACTGAATTCTTCCTTTATTTTAATGGTTTGTCCATGTGAAATCTTAATGGTCAACTATGTGTGCAGCTGCAGGCATATAAATATGGAAGCAGATCTTTGACCCTTAGTGGTATAATAACCCCCATATGGTGCAAAAATAAACAGTATGCAAATCTATCAGGGTTAAACAAATTTTAATCCTTTGGAGCCTATATTACTTTCAATTTGCTTTGGCAGAAAATCCTCACCACCTCATTGCTTCTGAGTTTCTGGGCTGGTGAGACTGCTGACCAGCGGCTTCTACGGTGCCCACTATGTACACAAGATGCTGGGGGTTCCTTGGATGAGGGCATCTCCATGAACATACTTGGACTGGAAGATCCCTAAGACCACATTATTGAGAAAGGGTAATACACAAGGTCTTCCCATAAAAACAAACTTTATCCCTAAAATGGCTTTCCATCTTGGCTCTCTTTTTCCATTTTATCTCCTTTCCCTCCTCCTATTGTAATTTGGTACCAACTGGCCTGATACAGTTCTCAAATGAAAATCCCGACAAACACTTTTAAAAAAATTTAAATAATGCACGACGAAGTGAAAATAGCATTCCCAATGTTCAAAAGCAAATGTAAAGGAGGATCAGGGATACATCAGTAAACCAAATTTATGCTGATTAAGGAAGGAAGGGAATCAATTTACTTCCTTAACTCAAAACCATCGAGAAGGCAAATCCGCACAGCTACACAGTTTAGTTGTTTCTGCTATATTTAGAGCAGAATATTTAGCAGACTAAGAGGTTCACTCCATCTCTGTCACCCGGAGTACTCTGAATAAGCTCGCGGAACTGGCTCTTAATGTAGGAAAGCCAAGAAATAAAAATATGATGTATACTTGTCAAGTCTCTTGACAATCAAATGACAGGCTTGCCTCCTGCCACTCTGTTCCGTACCTTCTAAGAAGATCAATTATATTTGCGGACAGAAGGGGGTCCTATTAAAAGGCTGACAAGACAAGTCTCACGGTTTGTTTTTTTTTTGGAATCTTTGCTTAAACCAAAGTTTCCTAAGTTTATTTGACCATGTAATCCTCCCTTCCCTACTCCCTTCTAGAGCAGCAAGGAACACGACGAACATCCCCCAGAACTAGCATTTTCAGGAAGACATGCCGGGTGATGCTCCTCATGACTGACAAGGGATAAAATCTTTTCAGAGGCACGTTATGGCCTCCCAAAGCCTGAAAGCCCTAATTACTCTCAATGGCTGTAGACGCTATTGGGGAGAGAGATACTATGAGAGGAAGCTGGGAAAAGGAAAACACACTGGGCCAGGACACAGCACTGGGGTTTGCTTCTCTTGGGTCACCTTCACTCAGGCAAAGACAACCCGAGGTCTCTGGGGGTAGGCCCATCACCCCCAGCCTCACAGTCCTGAGGGAAGCAAGTCCTTGGCTCTCTCTCTGAGATTCCACTAAGGGATATCAGAACTATGATGAGAGACAAAATGCCCTTGGATCTGCTCATGCACTCTGCCCACAAAAGTCTCCTAGGAAGTCTCGGTCTAAGAATGATTTTGGAAGTGATTACAGAAGTGATTACAGAAAGCTTATCACAGCCAGGACTCAAAATCTTCTAAAGAAACTTTTTTTTTTTTGGCAGGGGGAGATGTTGAGCAAAGCTCTCTGACCTCCCAAAGATTTAAGGGATGTCCAGTGAACACGGTAAGAGCAATTCTTGTTTCCCTGTTGACCAGCTTATAAGAGGAAGCTTCCCGGGGACATCTGCCTTCTTAAAACTTGATCTTTTCCTTATTTCTTTAGGCTTGGGAGCCCTTGAAATCAATGTCTGAGGTAAAAGCACTACCTATGGGAAAGGATGGTCTAAATTCAGTAAGATCTTCCCCCAAGGACTCACCCACCTCTTGCCGCGCCCACCTACACTGTCAAGCAACTGCCCTCGGCACTGGCTTTCCGCCCACCTTGTCAAACTTTTATCTTCACTCACGATTCCACTGTCACTTAACCAGTCACGGGCTTTCACATTTCATGGAGTCCATGTTTCTCTCTCCCCCCCTTTTTTTTTCCAATTCAGAAACTGAATATAAGTCCACACCAAACTCTCAAAACCAGAAATAAGCAGCGAGAAAGGAAGCAACAAGAAACAGATATGAGCCCTGTGAGGAAAAGGGCCTTGAGTGTGACTTGTGCTCCAAAAACTTGTCGGCCAGCCACCTCAGGGAAGAGGCTGTATGTTAACGAAGAGTCCCGACCCAGGGAGGAAGGGGATTGCTGGCTTCTAGAGTGGTTTACTGAATCTATTGCCACCCAGAGCCCTCCACCTGAAAAATGTGTGATATCGTGTATTCCTGGTAATACTAAGGGTCTGCAAGCAGTATCCTCTCTCACTGGGTACCTGATTCGGTGCAGCTACTCACAAGCAAGCATTGCATTATTTACAAAACAAAGCTGAATTTCATCAACAGGATTCTTCAATAACTAGGTCAGGAAAAAAAAAAACACATTTTATTTTGAGTTCAAGATAGATGTAGATATTCTCTTAAAACACATACTCTTCTCTTGTTTACTGAAGACCTAGGCAAGGACAAGTTTCTTTTGTGTGTTTACTTTTTAAATGAACTTGTGTTTGAATTAGCTTGGGTCCAAGTCAATACTGAGGTCTCCAGGAGGGGAATTTTCTACTGGAAAAATGAACAATTTAAGAGATGTTTATGTTGCTACATCCCTGGTCAGAATAAATTAAGCCCATCTTGACTTTGACTTTTATTTTTTTTGCCCTTTTATTTTATTGACTTTTATTGTTTTACAAAATTTGTTAGTGATTAATTATTCCCTTCCCCGTCCAAAAAAAAAAATCTCAACAAAAGCATCACTGAACTACAGTGGAGTGGTGTTTTCAGACCTTTTTTTTTTTTTAAGACAAGTGTGAAGAGCCATGGAATTTTCTTTCTCACACTCTTACTCAACATTTGTATTGTTTATGGGTGCTCTCTTGCTATTTCTTTATTACTGTCATTTTTATTTTGGTGACTGAAGTTTTTAAAATTTATTATACAGACGGGGCGCCTGGGTGGCTCAGTCGTTAGGCGTCTGCCTTCGGCTCAGGTCATGATCCCAGGGTCCTGGGATTGAGCCCCACATCGGGCTCCCTGCTCGGCGGGAAGCCTGCTTCTCCCTCTACCACTCCACCTGCTTGTGTTCCCTCTCTCGCTGTGTCTCTCTCTGTCAAATAACTAAATAAAATCTTTAAAAAAAATAAATAAATAAAATAAAATAAAATTTATTATACAGAAAATATGTTGTATTGTCAAGCAGCTCCAGGGTATAAGGAAGCTTATTTTTTCTCTTTAAAAATGAAATCTTGGGGCGCCTGGGTGGCTCAGTTAGTTAAGCATCCGACTCTTGATTTCGGCTCACGTCATGATCTCAGGGTTGGGATATCGAGTCCCGCATTGGACTCCCCACTGGGTGTGGAGCCTGCTTAAGATATTCTCTCTTTCCCCCTCTCTCTTTGTCCCTCCCCCCCAAAAGAATAGAATAAAATAAAAATGAAATCTAGAGATACAGTTCTATGGACTGAAGATAATTATTTTCATGTATTGGAAAATTTGTATTTTTTTTTTCTTTTTAAAGATTTTATTTATTCATTCGAGACACAGAGATACAGAGAGAGAGAGAGAGCACGAGCAGGGGGAGAGGCAGAGGGAGAGGCAGAGGGAGAAGCAGGCTCCCCGCTGAGCCAGGAGCCGGACATGGGGCTCGATCCCAGGACTCTGGGACCATGACCTGAGCTGAAGGCAGATGCTTAACCATCTGAGCCACCCAGGTGCCCCTTGGAAAATTTGTATTCTTGATAAGTACATGTACATTTGAGCATTTAAGGGGTTCTTAATTTTTATCTACTAGCATTTCCTTATGCAGAATTGATAAAGTAGGTAGTTAAGGATATAATTATTATCATTCCCCTCCATTCCCAGTTACCTTAGCTCTGAGAATCAACATCAACAATATATTAATAGATCATTACTGGGGGTGGGAACAAAAGAAAATGGGTCCAAAGGGACCTAGGATAGATTAATGATACTTCACACTTTTTCTTCCATTTTCTCATCTAACCCTCCTAATTCTTTTTTTTTTTTTTTTAAGATTTTGTTTATGTATTTGTCAGAGAGAGAGAGCACAAGCAGGGGGAGCAGCAGGCTCCCCACCGAGGAAGGAGCCTAATGTGGGACTTGATCCCAGGACCCTGGCATCATCACCTGAGCCGAAGGCCGAGGCCTAACTGACTGAGCCACCCAGGGATCCCTAACCCTCCTAATTCTTCAAGTAGAATTACTGTACTATGTTATAGCTGAGGAAAGAAACTGAGTAGATAATAGATTATCAAAAAAAAAAAATCTCAGAAGCAGTTGTGTTCTTGTGTTAAAAAGACAGTTGGTTCCTGTAAATCTATTTATTTTCCAAAAAAATCATGAGTCATTCCACCTTCAGCAAATACATAAACTGCTACAAATTAGAGCTTCCATTTAGAATAATTTCTCCTTTTTTTCTTTGGCCAGTCCATTCGACTATGCTCTTACAGGAACCAGGTCTCAGGGACAGAAGTAGAATAAATTCAATACTCAGGACACTTGGCTACTGAGATTCTTATGCACTGGAAAAATATGTTATCTGCCATACAAAATAACCATGGTATCTCCGAAAACCACAGTATTTGGAAAAGCGTTTTAGAACCAGCAATACTCAGTAAGTGTACAAGATATACGTATGCTCTCATCTACTGTTCTTAAGCTTCAACCTCAAGATCAACCTGAAGACTCAAAGACATAAGATGGATGTGACTAAAGTGTGGTTTTATATTTTCTTTCAGTCATTTACTTTGAATTTTGTACAGTCTT